ATATTCTGTGTAACCGAAGCTTAGCAGAAAAAAAAAAAAAACCACCAAAAAAAAAAAAAAACCAAAACACACAACAACAACAAAAACAGAAGCATGAGCGCCGGTCATCAAAATGAGTGTGAAAGGGGAAAAAAATTAGCAAGATCTTGCTTCTTTGCAATGTGTCCAACGTGAACGCATTGCACGTTGTGCTGCAGATTTACTACAGCTGAGTCATTTCGGGACACCGGAGTGAGTTTCCAGGAAAAAAAAAAAAAAAACGAGCGGAAGGAAGCTGGAATAGGGGCTCTCCGGGTTCCCCCAGGCACTGCTAGCAGCAGACACCGGTATTCCGGGCGTGGATGGCGGCGTGGTCAAAAAAAGGCGCCGCGGACCCTTTAAGAGGCACAGCACCTTCTCCAAGATACCATCTTGCACCGGGAGTTCACTGAACTCTCCACCTACCTTGCTAGGTCCCTCCGCCCTCACTGGATACGGCCGGCGGGCGGGGCGGGAGAGTCTTACGATTGGCCGGCCGCGCGCGGCCCTCTCTCGCCTATTGGTGCGTGCGCCCGTCACTCCACATTATCTCCCGCCTACTGGGGCCTCCGGGCTAGGTTGACTGGGGCTCTTGGGTTAGTTCCTGTTAGGCCCCGGCCCAGGGAGTAGGTGAAGTCTCTAAGATGCCCGGTGGGTCAGGGCACCCGGAGCTGTGAGGGAACGTGAGGCGGCGGCGAGCGGAGACCCGCGGCGGGCCTTCGGAGGAGCGGCGGCCCGAGCCCGCCTTCCCTGCACCATGCTCATAGAGGATGTGGATGCCCTCAAGTCCTGGCTGGCCAAGTTACTGGAGCCGATGTGAGTGCGCCGGGCCGCGCCGGGCCGGCGGCATGGGCGTTGGGGACCCGCGGGGGCGTGGGGGAGGGGAGGCGGGAGTCCGGGCCGCCCGCCTGGTACTCGTCCACGGTGTTGTGAGGTGAGGAGGGAAGGGGCCGGGCACGGGCGGCGGGGGTTCCCCGAGTACCCGGGGAGCCGGCCCGGGCTGCAGGCCGGCGGGAGACTGAAGGACGCCGACCTGGGAGCAGGGGCGGGTGGCGCGGCTGTCGAGGGATTTTTAAATGTGTGAGCTGAGGTGCGGGACGGCGGAGCGGGCTGCAGGACTTTGCAAACAGTGTCCGGGAGCCCGGTGTCGAGGGCCTTCTCGGGGTGCCGGGGGTCCTGAAGCTTAGCCGTCGTTAGGGGTGAGCGCCAAGGGGTGAGAACAGGGAAGAGGGCTGAAGTGAATGTGCGGGCACGGAGGGGTTTTGTTAAATTACTGGGAAGCTCGTGAGGATGAGAGCAAGGATACTGAGGGATTTTAAGGTGTTCCTGAGGAGTTGATGGCAGAATTGATTATTTTTTAGATACTGCAGGCTGTTGGGGGAAGAGTCGAGATTTTTATGTCTGATTGAGGGTTGAAGGACTGATTAGTTAATAGTATGGATGGTGAGGTTGAAGTGGGTAAAGTTGAAGCTTCTTCTTCTTTTTTTTTTTTTAAATAAAAGATCCAGGTGTTAGGAAAATAAAAGGGGCCCAAGAATAAATAAGGATCTTGTAAACATTTCGGAAAGATGACAGGGCAGCTGTAATTGGGGCGTAGGGTGACTGCTGAGGGACCAGGGGAATGAGAGACCTGTCCTCTCAAGACGTTTTGAGGAGTGTCAGCTGTGGACACACCACTGAGAGGCTTGACACGGACAGCAGGGGCACCATCAGCTTCTCGTTTTTAACTTTTTAAGAAAGTAAAGGTTGTGTGGAGAGTTTGGGGATCCTCGGGTGTAGCTAGTCTCTGCCTCCCTCGGCCTTGTGGGGAGGAAAGGATGGAAGGCAGGAGGGAGTATTTGAAGAGAGAGCGTGGGAAACCGAATGGGAGGGAACAAGAGCATTTCCTGCTCGCTCGCTCTCTCTCTCTCTCTCTCTCTCTCTCTCTCTCTTCTCTCTCTATTTCTCTCTCTCTCTATTTCTCTCTCCCTCCTCTCCCCCATTACTGTTTTTGCCTACTCCCCCCCCCCCAGGATGGTTCGAGGAGGAAAAAGGCGGGCCTTGAATCATGAAATCAGATTACCCTAGTTAGAAAGAAAGAAAGAAAGAAAGAAAGAAAGAAAGAAAGAAAGAAAGAAAGAAAGAAAGAAAGAAAGGAAGAAAAAAGGTTTTCAGGGGCTGGAACTGGGAAGTAGCCCCACAGGTGTGGAGGTACTGTAAAGTTGAGGCTGTTGGGGGACATTGTCGGCTTGCTCTCCTCATCTGTTATTTCCTCACCATCACCCTCTTCCCCCCAAGAAACTTGGTTAACTAACTTTTTGTTTTTGTTTTGCTACTTTGTTTTTGGGGGCGGGGTGGGGGTGGGAAGGTACCTCAGGAGGAGGGTCATATATGGAGGATGGTAATGGAGGCTGCAGTGGGGAGGGTGTTTGGATGTTAGTTTGTTATTTGCCTTCTGGGAGTGAATGAACAGAGCATAGGGACAAATGAATGAGTAAATAATTGTGCAGTAAGGGCTTCTCAGGTTTAGGTGAACGGTCATCCAGTTAGAATGAAAATGACTTCTGGGCATACTCGAAAGTTTGGTAGAATATTGCATCCCTTTTCTACAGTGGAAAGTTTTAGGGCACTAAGATGGAAATGGATTGTGATGTGCAATTTGGGAATAAGATAGAACTAATCAGTTTTACTGTATGTGAAAAGAACTAAAAAAGGCAGGAAAGTCTATATGTTTTTAAAAATTTGTTATTTTTTTCTTTTTTGGTTTTTGAGACAGTATTTCTCCATGGAGCCTGTCCTGAAACTAGATCTGTAGACCAGGCTGGCCTTGAACTCACAGAGATCCACCTGCCTCTGTCCCTGAGTGCTGAGTAAAGGCTTGTGCTATCACCTGTTTATTTTTCTTACCAACTCTTGAAAGGTCTGTCTTGAATGCCTGTTGTGTAGTAGCATTTCATTTGTATTTTTTTTTTTTTGTTTGTTTTGTTTGTTTCAAGACAGGGTTTCTCTGTAGCTTTTTGGTGCCTGTCCCGGAACTAGCTCTTGTAGACCAGGCTGGCCTCGAACTCCCAGAGATCCGCCTGCCTCTTCCTCCTGAGTGCGTGCGCCACCACTGCCCGGCTCATTTGTATTTTAATAAATAAAAGCTTTCTTGAAGATCAGAAAAGTAAAACAGCTACACTGACCAGCCTTATTGACCAGGCAGTAATGACTAGCACCTTTAATCCCAGTAGCCACACTAGTTTGCCATAGAAACCAGGTGGTAGTGCTGCACGCCCTTAATCCCAGAACTAGAGAGGATTATAAAACAGGAGAGACAGCTCTCAGTCTCATTCTAAGATTCCTGGAGGCAGGATTTCCATTTCAGATTGAGGTAGAGCCAGTGACTGGCTGTTTTGCTTTTCTGACCGTCAGGTTGAACCCCAATTTCTGTCACTTGAGTTTTTATTAATTGTGCTTCAATGTTGTCTTTTCTTGCATTATAGAATGTTGAACCCAGGGTTCCATTTTTTTTATTTTCTCCTCAATTTTCCCTGATAAGCTCTCATTCTCTTTGTTAGTAGAGATCTTGTTTACTGTCTTTTTAAAATTTGAAAGTATTAAATGTATGTTTTATGTCTCGGGTAGATAGTAACAACATTTAGCATTATAGCTTCTTTTTATTTTTTTTTTTGTTGTTGTTGTTTGTTTGTTTTTCGAGGTGATTTTGCTGTAGCTCTCAAGCTGTTGTAGACCACCAGGCTGGTCTTGAACTCACAAAGATCCACCTGTCTCTACCTCTGTTGTGCAGGGATTAAAGGCATTCACCACCACAGCCTGGCTTAATTTAGTTTTTCTTTTTTTAAACACCCTAAAAATGTATTACTGGGTAGTAATAGCACTAGCTAGTACTTTTTTTTTTCTTCCTCTTCAAGATAGGGTTTCTCTTCACATTCTGTGCTGTCCTTGAACTCTGTAGACTAGGCTGATCTCCAATTTACAGGGATCTGACTGCTTCTGCCTCTTGAGTGCTGGGATTAAAGACCTGCACAATCACTGACCAGTTCTTTTCTTTTTTTTTAATATTTATTTATTTATTATGTACACAATATTCTGTCTGTTTGTATGCCTGAAGGCCAGAAGAGGGCACCAGACTTCATTGCAGATGGTTGTGAGCCACCATGTGGTTGCTGGGAATTGAACTCAGGACCTCTGGAAGAGCAGGCAATGCTCTTAACCACTGAGCCATCTCTCCAGCCCCTGACCAGTTCTTTTCTTTTTATTAAGGTAAACTTTAGTGTAGGAATGTCATCATTCTTGCTAGTGATGTTTTCGTTAGGGTGTTTTTTTTTCTTTTATGAACTGACAATTTTAATTATTCTGTGATCTTGATCAAAAATTATACTTTAAAATGAATGAGAGCTTGAGAGATGGCTCAGTGCTTAAGAGTATTTACTGCTCTTCCAAAGGACCTGAGTTTGTTTTCCAGAACCCATGTAAAATAGTTCAGTCTGTAACTTGGGCTCCAGAGGATTTAACATCTCTGGCATCTGAAGGTATCTGCACTCACACGTACATAACAAAATATGGACACACACCTACAAATAATTAGAAATATAATAAGGATAATCTTCAAAAAAACAAACGAATACTTGAAAGCTGGGCATGGCATTGTGCACTTGTAAGAAGCTGAGGCAAGAGATTGCCATGATTTCCAGGCTAGCTAGGACTGTGTAACGGAGACCTTGTCTCAAAAGAACACCAACCAAACAAAAGATTACTTGAACTTAGTGTTAAATCTTGTTTTGTGTTGTTTTTTTTTTCAAGTCAAATTGAAACACACATTCTTTTTTTAAGATTTGTTTATTTATTAAGTATACAACATTCTGCCTCCCTGTATGCTTGCACACCAGAGGAGGGTGCCAGATCTCATTACAGATGGTTGTGAGCCACCATGTGGTTGCTGGGAATTTAACTCAGGACCTCTGGAAGAGCAGCCAGTGCTCTTAACTACTGAGCCAGCTCTCCAGCCTCTGTTTTTTGTTTTGAGATAGTATTTTTCTGTGTAGCTTGTAGCTCTGACTGGCCTGGCTTTTGTAGCCCACACTGGCCTCAAACTCCTGAAAATCCTATTGCCTTGGCCTCCTTGGTACTGGGATTAAAGTTACTCATTGAAGATTAGAAAAGAAAAAGACTTAGGCTGGTGTTATATGCTAAACTTTATAGCACATACTTTTTAATGTATGTTAAGCCCTGAGTTTGGTCTCCATCATATAAACATAAGCTAAATAAGAAAAAAAAGACTTAACATCACTAATTAGACTTTAAGAATGTGTCTCTCCTATGAAAGTTTTATTTTTAACTTATAGTATTGTTTTTAGAAAGAGCCGTTGATTAAAAAATAGTAAGTGCAAATGCCATATAGATTTTCATTCTTGGTACACTGTCATGGCTGACTACTTTTTGTCTAGAAAGTCTAAAAACATAAGTGATATGCTAATGTGGGTTGTGTTTGTAAATTTACTTATTTCATATTCTAGATTCAAGAACACTTTTCATGGCAGATTGACATGTTATTACAACATAGCATTTCAGAGCAGTTGTCAGGCTTTGAGATAATGTACTTGCAGGTTGGAATCAGGCTATGGCTGAGTACATGAATTCTGTTGTACTTTTTTTTAAAAAAAGATTTTTATTTTATTTTATGGGTGTTTTGCCTACATGCATATCTGTGCACTCTGTGTCTTGTGCAGAGTGTGTTTGTCAGAGAGGTATTAGTTCTCCTGGAATTGGAGTTAGAGATGCTTGTGAGCCATCTAGGGTCCGGTAGAAGAGCAGCCAGTGTTCTTACCTGCTGA